AGCACAGAAGGGGGAGGGGAGGGTGAGCACAGAGGGGGGGAGGGGTAGCACAGAGAGGGGGGAGTACATAGGGGTAGGGGTAGGATACACAGGGGGGAGAGGGTTCAGAATAAAAGAAGAACGTATGTGATAATAAAATGTCAAGAAATATAAGTTTAGCGTTTCATTGTATTATGGAATCAACCAAGGTTATAATGCAAGGAAAGTTATTTCAGAGGTGTACCCATCTTTTGTACTGCAGTGTACTGTCTCTGGGCGGTAATGTAAACACAAGACGGATGTCGAAGCCTGATATGGGATCCATCTTTCACATAAAATCAATGAAATATTCTGGCCATCGGAAACTATTATGTGAATTATCAAAATTATCAAAATTCAATGCTTTTAACCTCCTCGGATACTAAACAAACACTGATGCATCTTTTCTTGTTTACAAATTTCGCCCAGAGAGAACTGGTTTCAATATGTATGCAGAGTAATTGCAATTAACGTTCCTTGCATTATAACCTTGGAATCAACAAAGTATTTTATATCTTCAGTAATCTGGAGGTAGCTGAAAGGGGGTTAGTGGGTTCAAGAAAAAAAAATCAGGCAAAATTACGAAATTTAGAAAAATGCTTATTTGACAGCAAAAGCTGGATGGCTGACAAGAAAAGTGACAAAAAAAACGCAATATTTTACAAAATATCGGAGTTATCCAATTTGTTACTTTCAAATAAGATATTTTTGTTGAATCTTGCGATTTATTGCTGTTTGATTGACAGGTATTCAACTTTTACGGCCAAATAAGCGATTTTTAATTCGTAATTTCGACTGAAGATTAGCGAATAGAGGAGCGATTGTTCGAAGTGTTAAAAAATAAAACTTACTTTGCTTACTTAAATAGATAGATAGATAGATAGATAGATAGATAGATAGATAGATAGATAGATAGATAGATAGATAGATAGATAGATAGATAGATAGATAGAGTGGGGAAACAGATCGTACAGACAGTTAATTGAAACTTTTAGATATAATATTGATATTTTTGAACAAGTTGACTGTAAAAGTTTTTTGATGATATCTAACAAGTTTGTGTAGAAATGATCAAATATATTTTTAAATTCATTAATTATAAGTTTGCAAAGATTTAAATTTTCTCATATTGAACATGGTATATAATATATATAGTTTATCATTTGATATAGCTAAATAAAACTTCAAATCATGTTGTAATACTTATTTTCTTATAAATATATAAATATATATATATAGATATTGGATGTATATATATGTGTAATGTCTAACCGTCTCAGTGATACTAAATTAAGATATAAGAAGTGGGGCAGAGGCAACAATTAAAACCGTTTTCTTAGATTTATGAGATATGGTAGCTACTCATTTATAATAATAGTATTCAATCGAATAAATCCGACCACCTAGATCCGTCAAAGCGTTTAAGGGTATTGTGAATCGGGCATTGACATCTTTGAATGTAGAGTCACTTAAAAATTGCGCTTACAGTCCCTTTAAATCAACAAAATTGACTTGCTTGAATACGAGGATAGCTGGCCCACTATAGTTTCAGTAGAAATAAATATTTCCATTTACTGATAGCGCCGAATGAAGGATTCAGAACTCTGATTGGATAATGAGATAGATAGAAAGATAGATGTTACCCCATACTATTTCTATTGGTTCAGAATAGACAACAAACACATGACTGAACTCTGATTGGATCAGGCGCTAATGGACTCGGCATACAGGAGTAGGCCGGCTTCCAGATAATTTTTAAACTATCTCTATAGTGAACATTAAAAAACTAAAACCACAAAAAAGGCGAGTAAGGCTGTAAACTTGTTTAACCTCAGGATGTAAGTTGTAAACTCAAAATTGAAAAAAAGTATTTTAAAAAAATAACTTTATACGTAGGCTTTACATCTACCCCATTTAGCTCATTGTGCCTCTACCCTCCATTTCTTGAGGCCAAAAATCTTAAAATTACCGCCGTTTCGCAATTTATATTTGGACGTTTATTCTTTAAATTAAAATTTTTATTTTCTAAAATGAATTATTTTATATTGAATAAATGACAATGAACATGAATGTATATGAAAACAGAAATTTATTCAGTTTATTTCTTTCTGTAAAATCTAAAATGAAAAATATTGCAAATTTGATTGAATTAAGAGGAGTAAAAGAAGAATTTTGTTTAAGTATTGCCAATAAAAGTGTGCAGAATTGTAGAAATTATGCAATAGCAAGAAAACTGATTGCTCACGGTAATTCGACATTGCAAAAACCCGAGGCTTTCCGAAAATTGCAACAATATTGAATATATACACCCAGTTTTACAAAAATGCACTGTTTATTTAACAAAGATGGAATTAGAAAACTGTTCAAATCCAAGAAATTATGACCAACATTACCGACCTATGATTCCCCAAACAGATGGAGGTTAAGTTATACTTAACGTCCATGAATTTAAGCTCTTGATTTTTTGTTGGCAAAATGGGTTTTGGGAACCCTTGGTAAATTGAAATTCCCTTAACTTCCCTGTAAAGTATTAATTAATTAATACTACTTAATACTAATTAATATAATTAATTTTTTATTCTTGCCAGCTTAATATTTGTAACGTTTTTTATTTTCACCACACTCAAAATCTATTTTTTTATTATGAATGTATAATATACATGTGAAATAATTTGGATCCTAAAATAAATCAATCAAAGGCCTTTCACAAGTCCAAACTCAAAGGTTCACTAAGAATTATCCATTTTAATAAAACAAATATAAATAGGGTCTTCTTGTTCTTTATATAAGTAATAATTTGACTTTGTTTGTTTGTTTGCATGCCCTGTCAATGCCCAATCATAACTCATGAACCTCAGGACCTTTTTACCTCAAATTTTGAGTGGTTTAAAATTTCTAGGTTGAGTGGGTTGGCGAAAACTTGGTTTCGGGCAAAGCTGGGTTCCCATAGCTAAAATACTTACGTCTTAAATATCGTCTTCCTTATCCGCAGTTTTGTGTTTATGGGTCTCGCTGTACAACATATGTAATATATATAAATGTACAATCTTTAAATATTAGTTCTTTTTAGCTTGTATTACAAGGGGAATAGGATTAAAAGCTTGATGCCTTAGAATTTAATTTCCGACTTTTGATATTTTTGATGAAAATATATATTTTAACTTAAAACTTGGTTTCACGGTGAAGAGGGTGGCCCTCATCATTTAGTTTTCGCTAGTTTGTAGTTTGTAGTTGGACCAAACTTTTTTAAGAGGGAGGGGTGGGAGTATGTATGTAGGGGAGGGAGGGAGCATGTATGTAGGGGAGG